GGCAGATAGTACTCAGAAGTGGTTTGCCATTCTATTCTTCTGGGGACACCCTAGGACTGTGCTGGTAGCCCAAGGCAATGCAATGTGGCTCTTCTGGGATGCATAGTGGGGAAACAAACTCCCAACCTCTGGCTCCATAGCTAGATGCCTAATTTATTGAGTTATTCATTCAAACCAGGTACACCTGGTACATCCACTGAGTTCAAACAGGACATACTTTCAGACAAGTGTGCATAAAACTACATTCTTAATCCATGCTTAATAGTGTCAAATGAAGATTCTGTATGAGCAGCACATGGTATATTTAGGTAGCAGTCAAGAATCCAGTGCAATAATTAGTCCTTTTTCAATGTCCTCTTACTTAAGGTAAGCCGCTATGAAGTAGCACAAGGCAGCTGACAATCTTCATAAAAGAATAAAAAAGTAAATCCTAATTTTAACCATAAATTCAAGTAAAAACCAATAAAATCAACTAAGTATAAAGTTCAAAAAAGCAACACTGTAGGGCAGGTTAAAATATAACTTCTTAATATGTATGGGTAGGATCAGACTACAGTATAAAGCTCAGGACCCATCCCATGTATTAGAGGAAGTGTCTCCAAACTTTTCAGCATGAGGTCCACATCATCTATTTTACACATTTTTATAGACAAAGGAACACACATGCGCACATGCACACAAGCATGTGTGCACGTGCGCACACACAGGCTGAAAGGAATGAACCTGAGCCTGCGGCATTCACCAGGCCAGATAAAAAGGCAAGGGAGGCCAGATGTGGCCCGTGGGCTGTTGTTTGAAGACCTCTGTATTACAGCATAGGTTCTTAACCTGTGGTCCATGGATCCGCAGACTCTCACATGGGGTCCACAAAGGCTTGAAGAAATTTTATTACCCTTTGCAGTTAAAATAGAAAGAATGGATGGATGGATGGATGGATGGATGGATGGATGGATGGATGGATGGATGGATGGATGGATGGATGGATGGATGGATGGATGGATGGATGGATGAAAGAAGGAAAGAAAAGGAAACATAGAATAAAGTCTTAATTTCCTTTGCTCGTTTGTGTAAAACTTAACTTTTCTTAACCTACTGCCTCCATTAAAAACAAACAAAAGTAAAAATTACTTTTGAAAATAACTTCTATTTCTGCACATGGTGAGAACATGCAAGTGAATGATAAGGCTTTCAAGGTAAGTGAGATATTCCCCAATGAGTTTCCATGGCCAAGCAGGAAATTTGAACCCTGGTCTCCAGAATATAATAGTGTCAAGGAATTATCAAACATTTGGTTTGATAATTCAGATTAAGATAGTAAAATTAGTTACAATGGGTAACCTTGGCTAAATAGCCTTGAGCAATATAATTATTCTTATATCTGATATCTAGAATGTGAGTTCGAACAGTCTACCTCCAAAGAAATACTATGATGAAAAACAAGATTACATACAACATTTTATTATGCACTCAGTTAATGCTACAGTATATGCAAACATGTAAAAGAATGTCGTACTGAAGTCAATTGTTTTACTTCTCAGTAAATGCATACATTACTGAAGAAAAAATACTGATAGGTGTTTTCCATTTCACTTTTAGAGAAACTGAAGCAAATTTATTTCTACCAGCACTTGGATGGTTAGATGACTAATTTTGACTATTAAGTTTTACAAGCTTGATCTGTGATTGAGTTCCTAAGAACAGGAGTGGGCAGCTACGATGCTCCACATCTTTTGCTTCTCCTAGCTAGCCCAGCCAATCACAAGGCGTTACAGAAGTAGCATTCACATTTGGAGCTCTGTACAAAACAGGACAAGCTATGTTAATAAAGTCTTGGATTTCTCCATGGCTTTCTATGGACATTCCATAAATCCTTAATGAATTGCTGGATAGCTGAGAGGTTTAGGTCTCTGGCTGCAGAGCCAGAGATTGGGAGTTTAATTCCCTACTGAGCCTCATTGACAGGGGCTGAAGTCAATAGGGTACCTTTCAGCTCTGCAGTTCTAAGGTGCTGGTGATAATGGTTATAGATTCTAGAAGTTCACAGGGTTAATTTAAAAAAAAAACTTAAGCTGCATTTGCAAACATACATTTGTGCATTTCCAGAGTCTCCTCTGAAAACGGAGAAATCATTACACTATTTTTGAATTTTTGCTTACAAACAGGAATGTAACAGACCATGTTTGCTATTAGAGGGGATGATTTTATTTCTCTGCAACGAGACATTGCTACTCAACTGTTAATCTATCATTTTATAATGTAATTCTAAACTGGAAATGTTCTGAACAGTAGACATAGATTACTCTTCTGCACATTCTCCAAGGATCATCCAACAAATTATTCAATGCTTCCTTTACTGCACAAGATTAACACCCTTTATTTAGACTTTTTAGTCAGTGTTACACCACTGGGAGAGCCTATAATTGTTTGTATATAAGCTAATAAGCTAATTTGTATATAAGCCACTTACATAAAACTCCATAAAACTGTAATATGTTCCAAAAACTGAAGTTTATTCTATATCAGCTTGGTGTTCTATATATTTAACAAGTATTATACCATAGATTTATTGAAAGGCTACAGGTTTATGTTTCTTCATTACTACACAAAATACTGCAAAAAAAAAATTCTGACAGTTGGCAGATACTAGAAAAATGTTGTGCACCCAGCTTATGCATGACTGCCACAAGTACACAAGCATTTGTTTCTTTTTCCCATGTGTGCAATAATGTCTCCACTTAAGAGTCCCATCCCACTCACATATGCCCTTAACTTCTACTGGGTTTCAAGGGGCTTATTTCTACAGTGCATAGGACCGTAAGTTTAAACTCTTGCTAAGTCTCCAGGAGAAAAGATTTCTATAAATACCAGGCAGGCACACAAAAAAGGGGATTTCCACATGCTTCCTTATGGGAATTTGATGCCGATCCTAGAGCACTGGTTCTTAACCTTAGGTTACTCAGGAGTTTTGGACTGCAACTCCCAGAAGCCTTCACCACCAACTGTGCTGGCTGGGGTTTCTGGGAGTTGCAGTTCAAAAACATCCGAGTAACAAAGGTTAAGAACCACTGGTCTAGAGCTGAGTAATAGCTCAATGGCAGTGCATGTGATTTGCATACAAATGTCCTAGGAACAAACCCTGAGACCTCTATTTGCTATAAGCAGAGCCCTGGGAAATATGCAGGAGGTGATGGAGAAGACTTGGTTGGAAACTCTGGAAAACAATGAGACTGGGCAATACTGTATTTGCCTGGCGATTGATATGGTATGATATAAGGTAGCTTCTTTACTGTAGGGTGGGGCAGGCAAGGTGATTCCTTCCAGATGTGGTTGGGAATACAGCTGCCATCAGTCCTACCTATCTTAGTCAATTGTGAGGAATGATAGCAAGTGTAATTTAAATACCTGGAAGACCATGAACTTCCTACCTTTGTTTTAAGTGGACAAATCCAAGGAAAGTCAATTCTTGCAATCTTTCAATTAATGTCAAAGGTGGGAATTATTACACCTTTTAAAGATAATTTGTAAGCCTATTTCTTCTTTATTTCCTTCTGCCCAAAATACAAAGTAGTATCTGGTTTATGCTACTGGGCCAGTGAGTATTTATAATGCCAAGTTTACATGATGGTCTCGATCCCCTTTCACCCTCTGTCACACAAGATGTGTCACCTATGATGCAAACATACAGGAATGACACCTAAGTTGTACACCTCTTTCCTGAAAGGGGGAGGGAATGAACGCATTAGGCATCCATATGGAGCACATGAAGTTATTTGTGTGATGAAAAGAGAAAGCAGATGTTCCAAATACTGTACATGAAAGGAGCCAGTGTGAAGTAGCACTTCAGTTGCTGGGACATGAGAGGTCCAGTCCACACTGACCCACAGAACTGGGTGATCTTGGGTTCCTCACTGTCAATCAGCATAACCTACCCCACGGGGCTGCTATGGAGACAAAGTGAGGAAGACTCATGTATAGGGAAGCAAAGGGGGGTAAAAATGTAATGAACAGACAGACAATACAACCTGTCTATGTGAATGTATGAAGAAGCTTTAAGAATCTGAAAAGGGGCTTGTTAAACAAAACATGTCTGTATACACCACACATACTGCCTCTTTACTAGGAAAGCGAAAAAGGCCTCAGTAAGAGGTACAGAATGAAGTATTTCTGGTTTAGGGCAGAAACCAGGAGCCATTAAGAGCCTGTATCACCGCTTCTGTGGCTACAGCAATTACAGTGGACCCTTGACTTACAGACGGCTTGATTTACAGACTTTTTGAGTTACAGGCTTCTCTGGCCGCAAAATTTAGGTTTGACTTGCAGACTGAGATTTGACTTACAGACCAGAAAAAAACCAAAATGGAACAAAAACGGCCTGTTACGAGATTAATCGGTTTTCAATGCACTGTAGGTCAATGGAGACTTGACCTACAGACTTTTTGACTTGAGAACCACCTTCCAATACGGATTAAGTTCTCAAGTCAAGACCCCACTGTATGGGCCTTTTTCAGTTCAGTTGAGTCCATATAAACAATGACTATCCTGTGCTCTAGGAGTTTTAATGGTGCATGTTAAGTACCTCTCTGTACTGTATTGCTTCCCATATTCCAATGGATCAACACAGAAAGGAAGCAGTATATGGGATGGGCTTTAAGTGGGGGGGGGGGGAAGGGGCAACTATTGTTTTAATTGTTTTAATTTCAAGAGAAGATAACCTGAAAACCATCCTATTCCACCTTCTTAACTGTGAAATTGTGGGATCTGATTACTTGGAGAAGCTCTAAAGTTTAGAGCCTAAAGGAGAGGTGTACTTTTACACATGCCCAGAGGCACTCCATCACACGATTACTTTGGATTGTATAGGACCCGGTTCTGGTACGTACTGAAAAAAAAACTGATTCCGGGTTTCTGATCTTTGGTTCACCTGGAGTCTATCCCAGAGAGGGGAAGGGAGAAACAAAGAAGGTAAACAGTTGCCATGGCAGCCTCAGGGCCCCACTCACCTTGCCGCAGCCTGGTGGCCCCCAGAGGATGAGGGAGGGGATTTCATGGGCTTCCAGCAGGGACCGCAAGAGAGTCTGCTCCCCCAGCACTTGATTCTGCCCCATATAATCTCCCAGGTGGGTCGGACGAAGCTTATCTGCCAAGGGTTTCCCTTCTAACTTTTGGGCCAGAGTCTCCCCGCTCAGCTCAGGCACCGACGCATCCGCTCCTACCGCTACCTTTTCCCCATCCAGTTGTTTCTCTCCCCCCTTTCTGTGGGTCGGAGACGCCGCTGCGCCCCTAGGAATTTCGGGCTTCCCTCCTCCAGAGCTCCTTCTTTTGTGGAAAAGGGAAAACACCGGTGCCGAGCTGGGGCTGCTTCCAGGCTCCTCTTCTTTCTTGTTCCTCTCTGGAGATTTGGAGAGGCGCATTTTCTTATAGTATGGCTGGGACGGGCCCATTCCCGCAGCATCTGGGCTGTTGCAGTTACTACTACTACGCCCACCCTCTGGGATCTGAGCTTCTCCCGCTCCGCCCTGCTGTTGCTGCAAACATCTGTCCAGATGTGCATTAATACGAGCAACTGGGAGCTCCAGGGAGCAAACTGGGCAACTCACTGGAGGCTCTTCCGGCGCTCCGGCGCCTTCCATTTCCTTTGGAACAAAAATGAGCGAGGGCGATTCCTAATCAATTAACTCCTCCGCCCCGTGCTTCTCAATGGGTAGAAGAGCACAAAATAAAAACACGGTTTTTTGCAACAAGCCCAAGCAGCCCTGAACATGCCCGAGCGGGAAACCAGCCTACGCTTCCTATTGGGAAGGGCTTGCCAGCGAGTGGGCTGCCGGGAGTTGTAGTTCCTCTGCTGTGCAGGAACCATCGCGCTATGTAAGAATCCGCGGGGAAAATAAGAGAATTTCCGACATCTCCCATTTTTATTCTCATTTCCCGACCGTTACTTGTGGTTCGGGCAACAGGAGAACTTCGTGTTCTGTTTATTGCGCATCGTGGAAATTTGAATCGGGCAGGAGCCACGTGTGCTCACGCAATAAGGGCTCGTTCACATGATGGGAAGTTCTGCGATGTGGTGTTTCTCCCGCTCTTTCCGGAGTTTGTGTTTGTTGTTGTGCCTGCTTTTGCAGATTTGACTAGACTATCCCACTGCTGGTGTCCACACATCGGGAGCACGTTTGTTGCTGGATATACTGGGTCGTTGTGACACTGCCCGAACACAGGAATCCGGCGGTGTTCCCTGCCCTCTTTTTTCCCCACTTAACCCTTTTCTTCGTTTCCCTCCTTTATTTTCCTATCCACCATTCTTAAGTCAGTTTTCGCTGCCGTGCTTTCTAATTTTAATTGGTTTGTGTGTGTTCACATTTGTGTTATAAGACTGGAAGATTTCAAATATTTAAAAACGGGAAGAGCTGACATCTGCTTTCCTTCTCCCTGCCTACTTCACGCTGAACTTCCTTCTCTACATGTTTTACCCACCCATTATCCTCAAACCCTCCCATCTTGCTCACTAACCTTTCTAGGTTTTATTTTTAATTTTTAGGTTCTAATTTTGTGATAGGGAGCAAAAGTTACAACATTTAAAAAAAGTAGGTACAGCTCTCAGCCTACCTACCCCCAGTGTATAAATTAATACACATCAACTAGTTGCTAGGGTTCACACAAGCAGGTCATGCAATGGGGCAAATTGGAGCAAAGCAAAACACCAGTGGGACTTGGTGTAATACACAGACACACTGAAAGCAGGTTTTGTCCAGCTTTGACTTTGTTGTTACTAGTTACAGCCATATAAATTCAAGTTCTGGGAATCAGGAACAGTATGGTGCAAGGAAAGTTGAAGTAAGGCTTTATGTAGATGGACCCTTTGTCTCAGGGAGTTCAAAAGAATTCCTTCCAAGTTAAAGAGCCCGAAAACTACAGCATTAAAAAAAGCATGCTGCTTATATACCGCCCCATAGTGCTTCAAGCACGCTCTGGGCAGTTTACAAGTTAATTATGCAGGCTACACATTGCCCCCCCCCCCCAGGCAACACCTCAGAAGCATAGAGGCTGAGTCAACCTTGAGCCTGCTACCTGGGATTGAACCCCAGGTCATGAGCACAGTTTTGGCTGCAATACAGTTGTTTAACCACTGCGCCACGAGGCTGCACCATAAGATCAAGTACAGAGAGAATGCCACCTTCCAGAGATTGCTGAGCTGCAACTGTCATCGCTATTAACTGCACTGCACACTGTTGCTGAGACTTGACATCAAATGGATGAAGGATTACATATTCCTTACCCTTTATTAGAACAAACTGAGGCACCATAAAGCAGTCCATCGTTATAACTAGAACTTGTACAACCTGATCATAACCACAGATTGTGATAGTTTTTCACTTACAAAATCATAAAAAATATTTATATTTAAAGTACGATTTACATAATTTAAATATGCACTCATCAAGCCCCAAACCACCCATGTTCTTTGTTGCAAGAGGTAGAAAGCCCCATAAATAACCTCCCTGCATTTATGGAAGTGCAACTGCAATAAATAACAATCTGCTTTCCTTGCATAACACCCCAGCTCTGCTGCCTGAGGAAGCCACTTTACTCCCTTTAGCAGTAGGGCTTATCCTGCTCTCTGCTCATGATCCAGCACAGTTGTTGTGCTATTCAAGCTGTTACTGTCAGGAATGGGGAGTTGACTAGACACATATTGTAGCTGTGGTGAAAATGTATTTTCTTTTGGGGGTTGTGGTGGTGGAAGGGGATAAAAAAAGAAATGTTGAGAGAGACTACAATATATGCAATGTTCTTTTCATATCAAACCTAAAGTTAGTTACTGCTCTAGCAACATAAAATATTGCACCCAAAGCATTTGGAATTGCGTTCCTTGATCTATTTTTCTGAAGTTTAAACATTTGAATTTCATAGTTTTGTAGAAGCAAAATTGGGAATATAAACTATAGTAAAGAGAGTATATAAAAAGAGTGGTATATTGCTGCACTCTATAGCCAGAATGCTATTGATTATTTATGCTGGCATAAATCCAATAGCATAAATTCCAATGGCAAACTAGAGTCAATGCCTGTATTCATAATTGCATACCAGCTATATGAGTTAGAACGTGATGAAAAATACAAGCCGATACTCATTAATTGGTGACAATTCACCATTGCAGTTTACACCATTGCACTTATGCCAGGGGAAATCATTGATAGGTGTCTGCCCTGTGCTCTGCAATCCACCAGCCATGACTGCTGCACTGCTCCTTTCATGAAGATGACACTCTCCGTGGGTGCAAAAATGTACTGTTGGACCCAGGTGTCATATATTGTACATCTTCAGTACCTACAGGCAGCATTGTTCTCTAATTCTGCTTGATGAACAAATCTTCTTGCCACACAGGTCTTGATATTCTGAGGGAAAACATCTTAAAAAGCATCCCGCTCATTCTGAAAGAGAAAACGGGAAATTATATTGCTAGAGTGTTTTTCTAGGTTGCACAACATTCAAGGTTTTCCACTGGAAAAACCTAAACATTTGTCAGAGAATAGAAGGAAAAACTTATTTCTGCACCCCCACATTCTCATTCCCTGTAATTGTGTATTGTATGGTACTTATAAACATGCCATTCTGGAAATTCATTTGTCCAGGACTTGCGTACTTCTCACTGGCAGCAAGTGTTTCAGTTGTTTTCCATGATACCTTCAACAAAGAGCAAAATGTATTATTTGAAAAGTGGAAACATTTCCCAGGTTTATGTATATAGAATAGAATAACACTTTATTGTCATTGCATGTGCAACAAAATCACCAGAGTGGTATCCAGACAGTGCATCACTCTTTCAGCTAAAACTCCATGTAAACTCCTAACAAAATTCCAACATAATACAACAGCAACAAAATATATTCACATGCAACCCTACAATAAAGTCAGATTAAATCGTAACTGAATTTAGCAAAGTCATCGCCCTTAGATAAAAACTGTTTTAAAATCTATTTGTCCTTGTTTTAATAGATCTATATCATCTTCCTGATGGCAGTGGTTCAAGCAAAGAGTGTCCGGGGGGGGGGGGGGGGGGTCCTTTATGATATTTTGTGCTTTTTTAAAAGACAGTGGGACCTGTACAGTAAGGAAGACGATATAGATCTATTAAAACAAGGACAAATAGATTTAAAAACAGTTTTTATCCAAGGGCGACGACTTTGCTAAATTCAGTTAAGATTTAATCTGACTATATCCACTGAAAAGGATGACACACTGGTGGCCAGTGGCCAGTGTCCTATCACTAGTCCCAACTCAAGTAGGCCCACTGTTTCAGTGGAATTTAGTGTTGACTTACTATTCAGCAATTGATTCAATATGTCTGTTCTCTAGTTGAGATTAAACAATAGGATACTAGCCACTGTCATTAAAAACCTGGGAAAGGCAACTTGTTGCCCCTCAGATGTTATTGATCAATACCCTTTCGTGCTAGCCAGCCAGCATTGCTGTGGGATCATGGATGCTGCAGTCCTGTGACATCTGGAGGGCCACAAATTGCCCACCAGTGCCCCAGCATATTAATTCTATTAATCTCAAATGCATTTACTAGGAAATACTGTACTTTGTATCTATTTGGCAGGAAATAAGCCCCATTAAACTCAAGTGGGATTTACATCTTAGTATACATAAATAGAAGTGCAGTGATCATTATCTGCATGAGGATAGACAGCTCTTAGAGCCCCACACAACCATCTCTTAACCAAAGCCTCTCTGCACCCTCTAGTGGCCAAGACTTTTAAAACAAATTACAAAAGTGGGGATGCTAGGGGCACCAAAACATGGAAGAATTGCCCCTATGACCCCTAGAGGGCACAAGGGGACATCTTTGTGTCGGTTTCTGTTTCCTTTTTTTTTCAAAATTTGTTTCAGGTATGGAGAGTATGGGTTACATTTGAGATTCTGGGAAGCCAGATGTGGCCACCAGGCTTAGTTAACCGTGATCTACATTTATACCCCACTTTTCATCTGGTGAGCTGGCGGGATAGCTCAGTGGTTTTTGGTATTTAGTTGGGAGTTTGATTCCCCACTGTGCCTCCTGGGAGAAAAGCCATCCTGTGTGGCCTTGGGCAAGCTGCACAGTTCCAGGGGGCCCCCAGAAGGCAGCAATGGCAAACCACTTCTTTGTATTCTCTACCAAGAAAACCTTGGAAATGACCACTATAAGTTGGAATTGATTTGATGGTACGCAAATATTATTGCTGTTTCTCCCAGTGAGTTTGCATTGTTGTACACCTCCTCCCCGGTTTATCCTCACAACAACTGTGCGAGGTAGATCAGACTGAGGAAGAAAGTGTTTCACACCTCTATGGAAATTGAAACCTGAATCTTCAAAATCCCAGTTCTGCAGTCTAACCACTTTATCACATGGGACTTTCTTCTCAGTCAACATGTATAGGATTGCATTGGAAGTATCACTGAAACCAATGGGATTTATTTCTCAGTGGACTTACTTGTACAGTATAGAGTTGCACTGCGTATGTCCTGAAACCTTGGTAGTTAAGCAGTATGCTTAACAACATGATGTGCGAGTTACATTAATGGATCTGAATGTCGTTCTGTCTTATATCTATCTCTCTTCTCCAATTTATTTATTTAGTATTAATTACTCATGGTTAGGCAACTGCTTGTAAACCAGCCTGATATTTTGGTGTCATGACGCATTATGCTAAGTTTTGCTGCTCTGTAGGGGCATTGCTTTGCTTCAGACACCATCAGTTGCTAGCTTGTTATCTCTAGGAGGTTGTAGAAGGTCACAGATTAGCTAAGAGAGCCAGTAAAGTTCATAGTTAATGTTAAACTAGGGGAAATCCAAATCCCCAATCATCCATGAAGATCATTGGGTGATCTTGGATCAGTCACAGTCTCTTTGTATGATCTGTTTCAGAGGG